ACCTGGACATCCATTTATATATACACACCTGCCTACCTGTCTACACCTGGGCATAAACATACACATATACTCATATCTATCTCCCTTTATTTACTTGGACACATACATATAGTCACATCTGTCTACCTTAATACACCTGTGCATATCCCTCAACACACACACACGCACGTGTAATTTTATACCTGGAAATATCCATAGATATATCCAGGAATATACAGGACATACACATATGTCTACCTTTATACACCTGATCACATCCATATTTGTGTGGATATGGATACACATACATAGTGGTGTATGTGATGTCCCCATGTGGTGTATTTGAGCAGTGCAATACCTTGTGAGGAGTCGGTGTCCAAAGTGGTCACTGTCCACTCCAGCGTCCCCACACTGAGGTCTGTCCAGCCCCTACTGCTGGTCTCAAAACTGGTGTTACCTATAAAGCTTAAAAAGTTGAGTCACTTGGGAAAGCAACAGTGTCACACTGCCACACTGCACAGACGCACACTGTAAATCACAGACACACAGGAAACTGCAAACTTGGAACAGGCCATGCTGTTAAGGAGTAGGAGAACAGGGGAAGACACAACAGAGAAGAAAGGGTGGGGAACAGGAAAGTGGGAAACAGAGAAAGCTACACGGGAAATGGGAAGATCACTCACCACACTCGGCCTCATCGGAGCCGTCCGGGCAGTCCAGAGCGAAGTCACAGACCCGGTCCTGCTGCACACAGCCCCCCTTGGCACACTCAAACTGCCCCACCTCACAGGACGCGTGGTGTGGGGGGATCTTGGGCAACAAGGGAGGAGGCTCTGTGGGGAGAGGGGCAGTTAGTTATACCATCACATCTTCTGCCAGGACATCAGGGGGGGCACAGAGAAACAGCACCAACCCCACTGTTCTCAGTCCAGCTCAGACTGACTCCATGTAGATGTCTGTCTAATGACGGAGCATGTCTTGCAGGGCAGCAGAAAGTGTGCGTCTCTATTTACCTCTCCCTTCTAGCATCTGAAGTACAGCCTATCCTTCCTGGATAGCCAGGCCTGCCTGTCCAGTTCTTATGGCCAGG